AATGGAACAAGGACAGGACAGAGTCAACCTCACCATAAACATCTTGTGGCAAATCTGGAAATCCAGAAATAAAAAAGTTTTTGAAGATGCAAATCAGAATCCTATCAAAACTATACGGAAAGCACAAGCTGAGTGGCTAGAGTTTGAGCAAGAGAGGGAGGCACAAAGGAAGTGGAATGTAAGACAGACAGTTTGCGAACCCAAGCAAAGAAGGGAGATGCCAAGGGAGGGAGTGATAAGGTTGTACACGGATGCGGCCATATCAGCCAAAGGGATCAGGACCGGGCAAGGAATAATAGCAAGAAACTGGAAAGGAATACTACTGAAAGCTAAAGGTGTAGTCACACAGGGAAGGGGAATAGCAAGCAAAGAAGAAGCACTTGCCATACGGAACGCATTACTGATGGCTAAACAACAGGGATGGACACAAATTATAGTCCATTCAGATTGTAAATCAGTAGTTGAGCAAATTAACAGGAGCAGGGAGTATGATTTCACCATTGCAACAATTCTAGAAGATGTACAGGACCTTAGTACAGGTTTCGAGAGATGGTCTTTTGTTTTTATTCCTAGAACAGAAAATGAAATCAGCCATGTATTAGCACGTTTTGCAGTAAAGCTAGTACATGATATTGAATGGGAACATGATTTCCCAATATGGCTGGTTGATTTAGTCAAGAAGGACTGCAGGGTAGTACCCCTTTTTTGTAAGTAATACTTGTAAAATCAGGTGTTTTAAGATCTATAAAATGTTACCGTTCGTTGGAAAAAAAAAAAAAGAAAGAGGCCTAATAGTCAAATGGGTACCTCAGAAAAAAGTTTTGGCACATAGAGCTGTGGGGGGATTTTGGAGCCACTGTGGCTGGAATTCAACAGTAGAAAGCATCTGCGAAGGCGTTCCAATGATTTGCAGACCAATTATTAAATGCAAGGTACTTGACTTATGAATAGAAGGTAGGCCTGGAAATTGAGAATGTGCTGGATAGAGGGAGCATTGAGAAATCTATAAGACGACTAATGGTTGATGCAGAAGGCAAAGAAATGAGGGAAAGAATGTCAGTGATGAATGATAAACTAGAACCTGGTTTGCAGAAAGGCAGTTCTTCTTATGAGTCCTTGAATGACTTGACAGAGTTTATCTCCCAACTTCCAAGCATGGTTCAAGATGTTAAAGTTGATGATCCAGCAACTTCAGTCAGTAAAAATCTAATCCAGTTTGAAGGGCTCAAAATTTTGGTTTAGTTCTTGGTGTGCCCGAAGCGGCATGCTGAATTTGCATATTAAGGTTTCATTTCGTCTCAACTTCTAATTTCAGAATCAAATTTGTTTCTAGTTTTGGATGTATCATCGCTTTTGGCTACCTCCTTTGTTCCAGTAATTTTGACATTTTGGAAATGTGATATATAATCCGAGTTTTGTTCCTTTAAAAGTGACGCAGCATTTGGTATTTGCAGGTGCTGCTACGAGTTTGAGGATTATGTAGTTTTTTTTTTTTTTTTTAATAGCATTTGGTGCTATTTTGTAATGGTGAGGCGTGGGAAGCGTGTAAACTCACATTTGCCACCGTAAGTGACAATAATTTTAAGACAAACAAAAGTTGAAAACATAAAAACTTTTAATAGCAGGAGAGACTTACATACCATGTGTAAACAAAGAAATTTAAGATGATATGTTCCTGGCAAACTATGTCACGAAACATAAACTATTGCTCGTATTGGTTGGTAAAATCATTAGGTATGTACCTAAATACATGAATCATTTTAGTCCCTTATCTTTAATGTCGTAGCCAATTTGGTCCCTCATTTGTCACTCCATATTAATTAAATTCTTCATCCCTATAAGATAAAGCTATGTAAAAATTGAGCTGGTCACATCAGTGGCATGCGTAGCGTAAAAATTAACCATTTTGGTCTTTCATCTTTCGAGTTGTAGCCAATTTGGTTCCTTCACAAAATAAAGGTAATATAGGACTTCTAATGGAGAATTGGAAAACCCAAATAGAGTTGATCCTCTATACAGTGATACTGTTAAGGAGCAAAACAAAATTAAAAATTTCATAATCTAATTAAAAACAAAATTAAAATTTGTTTGTAATTAGAGTTGGCCCAATTCAACATTTATACGGTGAACTTTTTCTTTAATTTTTTTTTTTTCACCAGGACAGGGGTGTAACTTAAGAAGCAGGGGAATTTATGTAGTGAACTTGGTGGAAATGTGATAAAATTTAAAATCATCTCTAATTAAATTAGTTCAACCAAAAGTGAATTTATGGAACAAAAACAACTAGGCTACAGTAGAGACATAGAGAGCTCAAACCTCAATCAAGTTTTAACAAACTCAATGAGGTCATTGCTTTTACTATTAAGCAAGAGTGCTGATAAGTATGAATTTTACATGTTTTTAGTGTGTTTTATTAGTTAGTTTTGGTATGTTTTAGTTACTTTTATAGCTAATTAACTAGGATTTTAGTGAAAATATGCATTTTGTGGTTTAAAGGGTAAAAATTGCATTTCTATGGATTTTAGTGGTGAAAACTTCATGTTTTTGTATATTTAATGATTCAATCATCAAATAGAGTGATTGGAAAAGATATTTGGATGATTATTGATGATTTGAAGTGGTTTAAAGAAGACATGAAGTGCAAAAGAGGAAATGCAATCAAGAGCAAAAGAAGAAAAGTTTTCCAGCTTTGACACCTTATAGTGTTTCGACAATATCTTGAGCTGCAAGCATCAAATTAAGGTGATTCTTGAACCATTTTGAAGTAAGAGATAGATCTACATTTGTTATGAAGACATTGAAGTCCATTTCAGTCGTTTTCATTGTCAAAAAGTCGAAATACAGAAGTACAAGTGCATAGTCGAAAGCTAAAACAGAGCTCTAACCAGTTGATGGTATTTTCACCATATCTCGGTCCACAAAGCTCCAAATTGGATGATTATTGAGGAATTGGAAATTTAACTCAAAGGGCTACAACTTTCATGTCTTGTATAAGAGCTAGTTCGGCCGCCATCATTGAGAAAATAGCATTTGAATTGTGCAAAATTGAATATGCGACTATCCAATATGCGAGTTACAGTCGTGTATTCCTGTAGTCGCGTATTCTCTTCTATTTTTTGCAACTTGCTCATCAACTTGCCTTGCTTTCACATAACTTTTCCAGCTCAATTCCAGCTATCAATTTTGGCTATATCTGATCACGAAAAGATTATAAAGTTGGAAAGACAACTCATGAGAATTTCAAGAGTCAAAAATGACAACTAGAAACAACTCATTTGGCTCTTGAATCCTCTATAAATAGCAGCTTTTGGAGACCATTTTCACATCTTTGGAAGGCCAGAGAAACTCCACTAAAAATGTAGTATTCACTAGTTTTTCTTAGCTCATTAGTTAGCTAGTATAGTGTAGTTAGTGTAGTATTTCCTTCTTGTATTTGTAGTTAGATCTGAATGAAGATTGGAGGAGCAAAGATGGAGAGTTTGAAACTCATGTAACAAGGGTAACTTCTCTCCTATCACTTTCTCTTTTGTATTTGATTTCATGTTTAACTATAATACAAGTTTGGTGTTTGATTTCATGTTTTGCTAAAGTTTATGTCTAGAGTTATGGTTGAACTTGCTATATCTTGTTAGTGATATTTACTTGGTTATTTGATGATATTATTTTGAACAAGTTATTTATCACTTTTACTTTTCTAATCATGATTAACTGGCCATTAATTGTGATTATCTAAAGGTGTTAAGTATGCAATGAGAATTGGAATTTAATACTAGTTCAAGAAAGTAATAAGCCTAGAGAGTACACTTACGAGAGTAGAGGTGCACTTATATGGATTTAGTGACTTGTTCATGTAATTTCGTAAAAAAAATGAGCTTGTAGTTAATTTCATAACCATGAGAATAGGTATGGCTTAATTACAAGTATAGTTAATTCACTACGAGTGTAGATTTCACATACATTAGGAAATTACATCATAACTAGCCAAAATAATAGCATTCACTTAACCGATAATCTCATTTGCAAGAGTAGTAAGGAATTCCATATCTCTAGGAGTTTTCTAGTATTATTTTCATTAATTTTATATTTATGATAGTCTAGATAATAAAGGAGTTTGAAAAACACCGGTAATTGTCACTCTTCCCTGTGGGATTGACCCTTAATACCCTATATTCGCTCACGATTCGTATACTTACGAAAAATCGCGTGTGGGGTATTTAGGATTTTTAAATGTAAAACTTAATTGTGAATGAACTAATTGATATATGTATACCCTGCGCACGTCAAGTGCAATATTTTCTTGAGGCACTGTACAGGTCAAAGTTTGGTACCAAAAAAATTCTTATGTGATAACAACCCCATAATTTGTCTCACACCCATCATCATTGATATTTAAGATGGAAAAATAGATGGGGTATGTGGGTTTTATCAAAAGAATCGCAATCCCAAACTGGGCCTTAAATGCTTTTTTCCTGTTTGCCTTTTTCATAGCTAACATTCTAATGGCAAGTGAATTCAAATATGCTCCTTTATTTCCTCCACTGCAACATCCATATTCTTTGTATTATTAGCATTGGATAAATGTTTATGATATGGTTCCAACAAGAAAGAAATAGATGCAAGCAAAGAATTAAAAGGAAGACAGAAAGAAAGAATGAAAAGAGATATGGAAGTATTATTGATGGAAGAAGAAGATGATTACAACAATTCACAACATTGCCTCTGCATTCTCTACTCTCGTGTTTTATACAAATTTTGATGGTCTAACAAATTGAAGTAACTACTAGTAACTAATTGTGCCAGCTGTCGTTGGAATATTCCTTCCTCAACTAACTTCTCAACTAACTTCCTGACTCATAACCGCCTTGGCTCTAGCTCAGTCATTACAGTTGCCCTCCCTTCAAACAATCCTATTCTCTAGGATTGATAGGATTGAAGGACGGAAATTGACTTTGTATAATAGTCAAATCCTCCCAGGTTGCATCTTCTTTGTTCATGTTCTTCTAGCAAATTAAGACCTGCTCCAATTGTTGCCCATTCCTGTTAATCACCCTTCTATCCAACACTGTAGTGGGAGTAATAGTGAAGAACTTTTCATCTGATATCTGTGGTAATTCACTGCTGATAGGAGTTCCTTTAGCAGATGGTTTCAAGAGTGAAACATGGAAAATAGGGTGAATAGCAGTACCTCGTGGGAGTTTAAGCTTATAAGCTACTGACCCAATCCTCTTTTCCACGTGATATTGCCCATAGTATTTTGCTACCAACTTCAAATTTTTTCTTAAAGCTACTATCGTCTGTCTATACAGTTGCAACGTAAGGTACACCCAATCACCTTCAGTAAAGGATCGGTCTGTTATGTGCTTATCAGCAAACTGCTTCATTTTGTTATGAGCTTTCAACAAATTTTCTCTCCATAATGGATTCCAGTTCACCCTCTCCCTTAACCAATCTTCAGCAACAACAACTTGAGTGTCATCACGTTTCGAACTCAATTTAGGTGGTTTATAACCATATAGAGCTTGGAATGGTGTCATATGTAAGCTAGAGTGGAAGTTAGTGTTATACCACCACTCAACCGCAGGTAAGCACTTCTTCCAATGGCCTGGTTGCTATAAACACAGGGCCCTTAATTAAGTTTCTAGGCACCTATTCACCCTCTCAATTTGTCCATCAAACTGAGGGTGTAGGAAGAAGAGAATCTAAGATCAGTCCCCACTTGCTTAAAAAGCTATTGCCAAAAAATGCTTGTGAATACTTTGTCCCTATTAGACACTATCCCCTTTAGCAAACCATGTGATCTGAATATTTGGTCAAAGAACACCTAAGCTACACTCTTAGCAGTGTAGTGAGAATTCATTGAGGTAAAATAGGCATATTTTGTGAGTCTATCTACCACCACAAACATGACATCATGACCAAATGATTTTGTTAATCCTTCAATGAAATCCATGGAAACTTCCTACCATGCTTGTTTATGGATGGATAGTGGTTGTAACAACGTTGTATAGTAACAATGCTGTCCTTTACTCCCTTTACAAATGTCATAAGACTACACATAAGTTTCCACATCTCTTTTTATACGCAACTAATAAAAATAACTCTTCATCCTCTGATAGGTTCTTAGATTTCCAAAATGTCCTCCAATTGCAGAATCATGCATACAATAGATAAGTTGGGTTCTTAAATCTGAATTAGCTCCAATAAACACCCTTCCTTTGTACCTGATAATTCCCTGATGATATAAGTAATCCTGCATACCAGATTTGTCCATAACTATTGCAACTAGCAATTCCTTGGCCTTTTCATCCCCATTATAACTATCTGAGACATTGGCTAGCCACAATGGATTTGCTGTTGTTATGGCATGGATTTGAACTTTTCCATTGCTAGACTCTTCTTCCACCCCTTCATACCTTCTTAACAGAGCATCAGCAACCAATTTATCCTAGCCTCTTTTACATTGGATCTCATAGTCCAACCCCATGAGATTAGAAAGCCATTTTTGTTGGAGAGGTGTAGTAATCTTTTGATTCAATAAGTATTTCAAACTTTCATGATCAATTTTGATTATGAAATGAGTCCCTAGCAAATAGTGTCTCCACTTGTCCACTGCTGTAATCAATAATAATAACTCCTTTTCATATATGGACAGTGCTTAATTCTTTGGTCCAAAGGCCTGACTCATGAAAGCAATTGGTCTGCCATGCTGCATCAAAACTGCTCCAATGGCTTTTTGGCTAGCATCAGTTTCCAACAAAAATGTTCAAGAGAAATCAGGTAACGCCAAAATAGGTGCTTGAGTCATAACCAACTTGAGTTGCTGAAAAGTAGCCTCAACTTGTTCATTCCATTCAAAACAATCTTTCTTCAACAAGATAGTTAAGGGTCTAGCTATCCTCCTATACCCTTTAACAAACCTCCAGTAATATCCTGTCAGCCCAAAAATCCCCTTAAACCTTTAACATTGGTAGGGATAGGCTAGGACAACATTGCTTCCACTTTTGCAGGATTAGCAAAAACACCTTCACCAGTAACTATATGTCCTAAGTACTCTACTCTGTCTTCACCAAATGAATATTTAGGCATTTTTGCATATAAGGAGTGGTTTCTGAGTGTGTCAAGAACAAGGGATAGGTGTTTGAGGTGGGAATCAAAATCTAGGTTGTAGACTAAAATGTCATCAAAGAACACTAGTACAAAATTTTTTATTAAAGGTTCAAAGACTGAATTCATCAAAATTTGGAAGGTTGTTGGTGCATTAGTGAGACCAAATGGAATCAGTAAGAATTCATAGAGACCGAAGTGGGTTCTAGAAGCTATCTTTTGGATATGAGAGGGGTTCATTCTTATTTGATGAAACCCTGACCTCAAATCAATTTTTGAAAATACTTTTGCACCATGTGGTTCATCAAGTAAGTCATCAATGATTGGGATGGGAAATTTGTCTTTGATGGTGAGGCTGTTAAGTTGTCTATAGTCAATACATAGCCTCCAACTTCCATCTTTCTTTTTAACTAAAAAAAGTTGGAGATGCAAAAAGGCTATGGCTGGTTTGAATAATTCCAGTGGTTAACATTTATTTAACTTTTCTCTCTATTTCTATTTTTTGCATGTGAGGATATCTATATGGGCTGATCTTGAAGGGTTTAGCATCAGGTTTCAATGGTCTTCGATGATTTAGGCTACAATTGGGTGGTAGGGATGTAGGTGTAGCAAATACGTCCTCATATTGAGCAAGTAATTGAGTGAGTGCTTTTGGAACAGCAGTTACCTATGAGTTTTGTACTATGACCATGCAAGAATGTTGCAATGCTATTTTTATTTTGTTTCTACAATACTTCTGAGCTAATATCCTCAGCTTCATCAACACCTTAGTAGAGTTGGAATCCCCTTGCAATAGCACCATCTCATCTTCCTTTTCAAAAGATAGGGACAACTTCTAAAAATCAAATGTCATAGGGGTATAACACTTCATCCAATCAACCCCTAAGATTAAGTCATAAGACTCCAAATCCAACACATACACATTGTGAGTAAAATGATGGCCTTGCATCACCTATTTCATGCCAGGAATCCACTGTTTACAAACTAATTCTTTCCCATCTGCAATCTTCACTTTAAAAGGCCTATGATCCTTAACGACTTTAGGGTATAGCTGAGCAATGGCTGGTCTAATGAAACAATTGGTACTGCCCCTTTCCAGCAAAATAGACATCTCATGATCACCATAACATCCCAACATTTCAATGGTATTGGAAGATAGTTGCCCTGAAACTGAGTGTAGGGACAATGTAACATCCTTGTCATACTCATTACCCTGCTACTCAATGATTTCATTCTCTTTCTCTGCTATCTCATCCCCCAGTGTCTCAATTTCATCTGTCAACAACAAATGGATCTACCTATTCTTACAAATATGCCCAGGAGAAAATTTCTTCCCGCATTTGTAACATAAATTGTGGTCCTTCCTATACTAAAATTCAGTGGGCGTAATTTTCTTGAAAGCTTGGGAAGTAGTTTTATTAGTACTACTGTCCAACATGTCATGCGCAGGTTTCCTCACACTTGTATCTGCAACTAGAATCAACTTCGTGGGCATTTTGTACTGCCTGGACATGACCTGCAAATGGTGTTCTTGCTATCTTGCTTTCTCAAATGCCAATTGCAAGGTAGTGGGCTTATGGATCTTGACTACAGATTTAATTTCTTTCTTCAATCCACTTAAGAAACAGGAGATGTAATACGATTTAGATAGACTAGGAACTCTAAGCATAACAGCAGCCCTCAACTCCTCAAACTTCTCTTGGTAAGCCAACACCGTGAAAGTTTTGTTGAATTCTTCTATTACATCATCCTCACCCAAGTTTCCAAACCTGCTGTAGAGTTCTTGACTGAATTCCTCCTATTGTAACTCACCCTTATCCACCTTGAAGCCTTGATACCGGAGACTAGCTCTTCCATCCAAATGCAACTCTACTAAATCTATTTGCTGGGAGTCCAGAATGCGAAACAAATGGAAAAATTTCTCACATTTCCTGATCCATCCCTTGGGGTTTGAACCATCAAAATTGGGAAATTCCACCTTAGGAATTCCAATCGGAAGATGATTCCTTTCCCCTTGAATTGATTGCCCCCATTCAAAATTCCTCTAAAAGCCTTTGGACAGGAGCTCTTTTTGTGTTGTCAGGAGAATTGCCCAAGATTCCTCTATCACCTTGCATGCTTCTTGCAAAAGCGTTGTACTGAGCATTTATGGAAACCTTGAAAGTTTTCATTTCAGTAGGGCCTTCATGTCAGAGTAATTTGTTTCTAATTTCGCTTCCAATTCCTGTCTTTCTGTTGCATTAGACTCGAGAATACTCTAAATTCTTGAACCTGTTTCTTCAACTGCTCTTCAAAGCTCTTCATTCACGTGCCTTCAGCCATTGTTATCCAAGGATTGGATAACCAAGCTTGCAAATTCGAGGACCGCAACCTCTAATACCAATTGTTATGGTTCCAAAAGGAAAGAAATGAATGCAATCAAAGAATTAGAGAAGAATTACAAGGAAGACAGAAAGAATGAATGAATAGAGAGATATGGAAGTATTATTGAAAGAGGAAGAAGATGATTACAACAATTCACAAAATTGCCTCTGCATTCTCCACTCTCGTGTTTTATACAAATTCTGATGGTTTAATGATAAGTATATATTTTACTTGTTTTTAGTGTGTTTTATTAGTTAGTTTTGGTGCGTTTTAGTTACTTTTATAGCTAATTAACTAGGATTCTAGTGAAAATATGCATTTTACGGTTTAAGTGGTAAAAATTGCATTTCTATGAATTTTAATAGTGAAAACTTCATGTTCTTGTAGGTTTAATGATTCAATCATCAAATGGAGTGACTTGAGAAGAGAATTAGATGATTATTGATTATTTTAAGTGGTTTAAAGAAGATATGAAGTGCAAAACATTCAAAGGAAGAAATGCAAATGAAGACAGTTTCGACACCTTGTGATATTTTGGCTATATCTTGAGCTACAATGATTAGATTGAGGTGATTCTTAAACTATTTTGAAATTAAGAGACATGAAGTCTAGTTCAGTCATTTTCATAGTCAAAAAGTTGAAATACAGAAGTACAATTCTGTTGTCGAAAGCTAAAATAGAGCTCTAACTAGTTGAGAATATTTTGGTCATATCTTAGTCCACAGAGCTCCAAATGAGATGATTCTAGAGGCATTGGAAAGTTAACTTAAAGTGCTACAACTTTTATGCTTTCCACAAGAGCTAGTTCGGCCTTCATAATTGAGAAAATATCAATTAAAGAGGTGACCAGGTGAAAATGCGACTATCCAATACGTGAGATGAAGTAACGTATTCCTGAGGGTGCATATTCTCCTCTGTTTTCTACAACTTGCTCATCAACTTGCTCTGTTTTCACACAATTTTCTAGCTCAATTCTAGCTATAATTCCGGCTATATCTGATCAAGAAAAGTGTGAAAAATTGGAAAGACAACTCATGGGAGTTTCAAGAGTAAAAAATGACAACTA